GGACTTGTGGAACGCACGCATGAAATGCACGTTTGAAATCTGTCCCGTTTTGTGTCAGTTCTCAGTATTTCTTGTTCTTCAAATTGGAAACCTGATCGTTCTGTTTGTTAGACATAACTCTTTTTTGGACTTTTGTCAGTCATCCAGTTTTCGAATCCCTGCTGGATCGAAACTGTGAAAGCACGTCCGGTAATGTTAATTCTTTCTGGCACGTAATAGTAAAGAAACATCCTAATCGTTCAACTGTGCAAGTTGAACCTGGAGCCAGAAATATCACTCGCTACGCAAGAGACGTTTTTCAGATGGCCACCAGTTATCATCTTTCTTTGAAAGTGACTTCACTTCAAAAGTGACCGGAAAAGTAGCAGTTTTTCAGCAAGTACCAGCACCTTGTTCGTCAGGGTTTTAAATCACCATCCAAATGAGTTAATGCATACTTCAGTTACATTTTGAGCTTCATATAAGGTTGGCTCTAATGATGGTTCGTTGTGGGACCGTGCTATGACTGGATTTCCAGTGGTCTCCACATTCAAATTGTAGGACCACACCGAAAAGGCAATAAAAACTGTCTTGGCGTATTGGAGGCAGTCAGTTCCGAAAGGTGTATGCATAATAACAATACAGGCAAGTGGCTTTTCTGCACAAATATTCTAAGCAAGAAATTCTAGCTTTCTCATTAAGTTCCGATTAGCTCATCAGCTCATTGGGCACTAATCAGTGCCTGCGGAAACACGTCCTTCCACGTAGCAACATAGGGAACCTGCTTGAGGACAATAGGACCAGATCTCATGGAGCAACTCAGCATGGCGGTAGAACGAAGAGTTTCATCCACTGCTAAAAACCAGAAGGCTCATCTAGATAGCAAATTCTCAAGGCTGATTAGGAACCAGGAGTGCGAAAGTAATCACAATGAAGCATGGATAAGGAATCTATCCAAAAGGCAACTGACGGAAGCTGAAGAAAACGTTCTCGTCAAAGGGCTTAATTTCAACTTCAAAGACGCGACAAACCTGGAGTATTTAGCCAGCCTGGAAGCAGCAATGAAATCCATTGGACTCGACGAGAACGCACAGCAGCTACTTCGTCAAACTGTCGTCCCAGCCATCGCACGCAACAAACCACTCAACGTGCTTTCCGGCAAAGAAAAAGAAGCAATGAACAAGTTGAAGAAGGATGAAAACATTGTGATTCTACCGGCAGACAAGGGACGCCTAACGGTGATCATGGACAAACCGGACTACATCAATAAAGCAAAGGCACTAGTTAACGACACAACTACGTACCGCCGCTTAGAACGCGACCAAAGCAAGCAGCTAGCAAGCAAAATCAATAAGAACTTGAAGCAACTCCAAGATCTCCACAAGATTACAAAAGAGGAATATTGGAGAATGAGAGCTCGTGATTCGGCCATTCCTCGCTTCTACGGACTCCCAAAGGTACACAAAGAATCAATACCTCTCCGGCCAATTGTATCACTTCCTGGAACAGCGACCTGCAATCTTTCGAAGGAACTATGGAAAAGATTGAAGCATCTCATCAGTGGGTCTCAACACTCAATCAACAATGCGGGACAATTTTTGGAGAAACTAAAACACGTAAGCATCGATCAGGACGAAATAATGGTCTCATTTGATGTGAGCTCACTATTCACGTCTGTGGACCTGGATTCGGCTAAGACAACTGTGGCCGAATTATTGGACAACAACGGCACGCCAACTGGATCACTGGAGAAAGAAGACCTCTGCAGATTACTCGACTTATGCCTGATCACACATTTCGAGTTCAACGGAGAATATTATGAACAACTACGAGGGGCACCAATGGGATCGCCAATTTCAGAATTCATTGCCGAAGTCACAATGCAAAAGTTGGAACAAATTGGGTTGCCCGATATAAATCCCAAAATATGGATCCGTTACGTGGACGATACATTTGTGATCATCAAAAGGAGCGAACTGCAACGAGTGAGCCAACTGTTAAACAACGTTTTCGACGACATCAAATTCACAACCGAGGAAGAAAACAACGGAAAACTGGCGTTCCTGGACATCCTCATCACTAGATTGCCGAACGGACAACTACAAACTGAGGTCTTTAGAAAGGCGACACATACGGACCAAATCCTCAGCTACCACAGCAACCATCCAAATTGCCACAAACGAAGCTGCATTCGGACACTTTTCAAGCGGATCGAGACACACTGCAGTACAACAGAATCCAAGATCAAAGAAGAAAAGCGCCTATACAAATTGTTTCAGAAAAATGGATACCCGAGGAATTTCATCTGGAGAACACTCAGGAAGCCAAATACGATCGATGCAACAGGACAAACTGCAAGCAAACGTGTCACACTTCCGTACATCAAGAACACCGCTGAAATGACGGCAAGGCTCCTACGACAGCACAATACAATGGTCGCCTACAAGCCTGCGAATACTCTGCGGAGGACACTATCAAGACCAAAGGGGAAGTTAGATCCAATGGCGAAGAACAATGTCATATACAGGATCCAATGCAAGGACTGCGACAAACGGTACGTAGGACAAACAGGAAGGAAGCTCTCCACCAGAATACACGAACACAAACTAGCCACTAAAAGACACGATCAATTCTCCCTCATCTCCGCACACAAAGACCAAGAAGGACACGAGTTCGACTGGAACGGCGTTCGCATACTGGCTCAAGCAAGAACGAAACGAGAACGCGAATTTATGGAGACGTGGTACTCCACCGAAGAAGCCATCAACAAACACATTGAAATTGATCCCATTTACCAGCCACTAAGAGCGAGAGAACGCCAAAACCACAGAACTTAGAGCCGCGAAAGCGACCATACGAGGAACCCATACAAGAAGCAAGAAAGCGTCATTCAAACGGACACATCAATTGGATTGGAGGAGGCGCCCAATCAAAGCACCAAATCAACCGGCGGACGCAGGGACATTAACCGCCACGGTGGAGGAAATAGGGCGGTACAAGCAACCAATCAAACTCGAGAACGGCAGACCACAACGCAATGCGAACCAAGGCCAGAGAGAACAAGCTACTAAAATTAGAAGCCGTTGGGATAACCAATCAACACAAAGGAACACAGACCACAACGCAACAAGGATCACAAACGGACCAATAGATTCACTAGACTCGTTACACTTCAGGTAGCCAATCACGTCAGAAGATAACAGATGGCCTTTGACTGCTATATAAACACACGCAGGCAAGGAAGAAGTACCCACCCAACTGCGCACTGATGATGTCTCCTCGTATGGTGACGAAACGTTTGCAAGCCAATTGCCAAGCTCGGCGAACAGATCAACAGCCATCTGATCAACAACCAATAATCAGTGCCTCAATTCACGCCACGAGATCTGGGGCTAATCGTTTCCTTGGCTGATCGCTTCTCAAAGCAAGGTCCATGCGCCTTTCAGGCATTGAGAGGAATTCCTTGTTTTTTGTCAAGGATTCAGAAGAGTTTGACGAATAACAGTTTTGATCAAGACAGCGGAATAAGTACGCACCTTCCCTTTAAATGTTGAAACACGAAACGAGACGTACTACTTGAAGTGGACCAGATCTCATTAGATTTGCTTTTTGCAAGAGGTCAGTAAGTTATGGTTTGCGTGCGGGGACGACTATGTGATGCAGTTCGTTGTGGCAAGAGATGAACAAACTATCGTTGAATGGAAAGCGGTCCAGAAGGAGGCTGATGTTCATTGCATGATGGGCCTCATATTTAGACGTAATATGATAGTTCAGTTGGGGAGATCTGGGTTAAGGGCTAACTGTAGCACATTGGTATCATAAATTTTTTACACTTCAAGACCTTGCACACTAATGGTCCTGAAAACAGTGACCAAGGAGCATAGTTGCGCAAGTCCTTTTTGCCGAATGAACATTCCCACAACCCAGTCGGGCTACTAATGCCGGATAAGCGATTGCACAGAAACGGTGCAACAAACAACCAGGAAAGGCAACTAACATAGCCACAGTTGTCGTATACATTCCAGCTACTTTGCCAATGTGACTTAGTCAAAATCCACCGGGCCAGAATGGGGACGAGACTTAATCAATGTTGTCATAGCGACAGAAACTGTTGGGACGACGCAGTAGTTCTGGTCTACGGCGCGTATATTCTCCGCGCAACCACGGAAACAGTTAAAAATTATGTCACGGAGGTGACCAAGTGACGGATTAGTTGCTAGGCTTTGAACCGATGCGAGTCCGGACAGCCAAGTTCACTTGTTCACCGAATCCCTTTTTCTCAGGAAAGTGTTTACACACAAAAATTATTATATTTATATTATTACTATTATATACATATATGCATATAACTCCTAACTCATATGGAGCTATTCAATCGGACAGCTAATCAGTCGACACTGGTGTCTACTGCTGATGAGGCATGTGAGTAGTATCTATTCGGGTGTCGAAACGCCGTCTCAACATGGTACGGAAATTATGAAACCGCTCTGTAGTACTCACTCACTATTGTTCAATACTCAAGAAGATACTTGATCAAGTTCACTCGTTCTCTAGGTAGGTTGAAGGTGGAGAGTTTGGAAAATGAGCCTCAAGCCGACGTCATGTTATGCTGCGGTATTTTCTGGAACCATGACAACCTTTTCGTTTAACAAATAACGGAAGCTGCCGGCCAAAAATTCGCTTTCAATAAACTTCCTATGGTTTCTTACCTTTTTGCATTAGTTCCAAGCCTAAACTTCACTGACATGCACCAGGAAGTATAGTCGCGTGGGTGAACTGTGACCGAAATCCATCATTATTGTCGGCTGTAAGAACCACATACTTGTCGTGCAGGGGTTGTAGCTGCCACAGTTTCGTTCCATGATGTGCTAGGTAGCTGCGCATTTGAGGTGGTGCGTAAATACAGCACTGTCAGTGGACTTTGGCCGAAACCACACAAGGATTTTTGGAGAACGCTCAAAAGACCAGTCGTAACATACTTCCCCATAGGGGAACCTAAACAGTAATGAAAAGAAACATAACAGTTACCGCGTGGGTACAGTTTTCAATAGTTTACCTTCCGATTCAAACTTCTCAAGTGTAGGGCAAAATTGGAATAACTCCGCAAGCGGCGTTTTCGCCACCTAGTGTTTCGTATATTTTATCCACTCTGCCAAGCGCCTTTCCCTCTTACACCGCCTTAATCGTGTGCGCGTCAGTTCACCCTCTCGAACTACCACCCACTCTCTTATACGATCACAAGTAGGGAGGTGAGCAATCTATGGCCTAGTGTTTAAATATGAAAGAAATGCAAATCACTTTTCGAGGTGGGATTCGCTTAATCCACTTTTGTATGGTTCGAAACTCTGCAAGATATGACTGACAACAGAATTCAGTGACATTCTTGTTGTCAATTCATCTCGCGAGCACCTGGGTCTAAAGACACCTCAGAATTATTGTATTAGGCTATCCTTAAGTCACTTTCCCATCCACTTTCACTCTTTTCTTTACAATAAGGCTTCAAACAAAATATGGTTGTGTGACTGTAAAGCATCAGTGTTCGAACACTGAAGCTGTGCTGTTCGTGATGATGGTTATGAAGTTTGCTCATACCATACTCGTAATAGAGGGAGATCACTGTACCTGAGGAGGCGAACAGCATTTTCGTCTGGCCGTTGTGACTTGTTTGTACCACAAAATGAATTTCAGCAGGGTTCAACTCTTGTGGTTCCCTAAATCGCCTCCAATTGTCTGAGTAAGTCGCGTAACGCAGAATAACATAAAGAGATGGGTAGAAGAAGCAATAATTTGATCAGATGGCTTACTTGGTACTCAGAAGGAGTCTCACTAAATACCAAAAATTTAAGGCTTCTCCGTTTTGTAGAGGCCATACCCAGTCTGAGCACCAGGTATTTTCAGAGGCCGCTCAAGGTTCATTCGTTTCGCTTATTAGACGTGCACCAAGGCGTCCGTGTCTCATGGAGAGCGCACATTACGAGCTCAGCTGGCGCGTTTATGGATTGTTCTGGAAAGAGTTGTTCGTCCATATTTAATGCATCTTAGGCCTAGTAACCAAGTACAGTGACGAGTCCGGTAGCTGTCAGTATCCTATTCCTTCCTGTTTCAGCTAGACTTATACGTTATCATGCACCATTCGACAATGATTACGATAAAACCTGCCTAAGCGTATGATCCACTGATGTCAACTTTAAATTTGCCCTATCTTCACTACTTTTTGTTACGCGTAGGGGTAGCAGGCTATGCAGAAATTCATCAGGTTACAAGGCGATGCGACAAGCCTGTTCAGAGCTAATCACCTCAGTATTTCACAGTGTGTAATCGGAGACCAACGCCAAGGTCATCCAATCAGCAAGCTTTATTTGTTTTGGTCAGCAATACAGATAAACCAGCGGGGCATTGCAAACGAACAACGTCTAACATGATGCTAACGAACCAATCAGTCGTCGAACCTGTCAGAATCAGGCGAGATCAAGCAGCCAATGAAGGACTGGGAATGACAATCAGGACGATTGTTTGTGAGCTTATAAAAACAGTGGTTTGGTTTAATAAAGTAAGAGTTTCCAGAAGCAAACCAAAGGTTTCTCTTGATCAGTTTCCGGTGCCGCGACATTATGCGAATAGAAAGTAGTGTTCTGTAAATGTTGGATCTAAAGATGGGTGAATTGCTAGAGCTTGTATTAGAAACTAAAATGGATTTTTACGGAATCAGAGAGTACATTATGAAATGTTCCAGCTAAGGACAGTCTAACGTTTCTGCTAAATATGTAGTTTTTGGTTTTTGTATTCAGTCTCTATGGGTTCTCCTCCGTCACTCAGGACATGGCGCTTTTGTTGTTTCCCTCAGTTTGACCTTTCAGGGGATGCAACAACTTCAAGCGCTAGTGCTAGGTCTGTCTGTTTATCTGAAGTGATCGCTTTATGTAGATGTAATGACTGTAGATGAATTTCACCAAATTTAGTGTACTTGTAGCCATATTTACCGAAGAGCATTCACGAAGAACATTCCAAACCATAAGTCCCTCCTTGAACAATCATTTTATCTTGTAAATGTTTTACTGAAAGATCTTTATAAAGCAGAGCTATCAGACAAAACCACCGTAAACATGCTTTTTTGCCATACGCCCAGATTCTTAGGTTCGGCGTCACTGGCAGGGATGCTTTACCCTTCCGTGAGATTAGGAAAGTGCATGAAGGAACGTCTAAGTTTAAGAAAGAAAGATATACATGGAGAACCGTACAAAGGCTTAGTCACAAACATTCTTACTTACAACATTACACTTATTGTGCTCAGGAGAGACAGGTCAAAGTAGTCCCTCCACTTCCCAACCCCTGTATCAGATTCCAGCCCTGAGGCCCAGTTCAATGCAAAAAACTTCATGTGATTGGCGTCGAAAGTCAGTTAGACGGTCTGGACAAGTGAGTCATTGCACAATCGATTGTTCAACTGGCCCGAAATCACATTCTCCTGAGCGCCAACTCTCTCAACGAGTCGAAAAAGATATCGAATGGAGACCAACAAGGCGTCGTGTGGTGCCGAACGGGGACCAAGCGACGGACCTCAATGACCCAAATGAATGCAATCCCGTTCATTTACAGGAAGCGATTAAACAGGACCTAGTCGACCTGCTCCGATCACAAATCGCATGCCTTCTAGAGGAAAATGAGAAAATCCTGGTCACACTGGATGACTATCGACAGCGTTTTTTTAATCTCCAAAGAGTAAGTGAAACTTTCATTGTTGTCTATCTGGCTTGATATAACCAAGGAATTTCGGGGACTGTTTTTTTGCTAACTTGAGTTGTTTGAAAGTATCAAACCATCTTTTACTTCCAGAAATGAGGACGAATGTTCTCATCTTAGGGAATGATGAGAGGTACTTCTTAAAGAAACCTATTCCATTGGGACGAGACAGTCACAGAAGCAAAAAGCGTTAGTTGTCTGTGATATTCTGCCACGGTCTGCACTTTAGTGTTTCTTTTGTTAAATGGCCTGCGATACCCGTAATTTTAAGCGCACCTTCAGATGGACTCAACACTTAAATGTCTCAGTCTCAGAGATGGCAGAACTGTCCATGGGAGAATTTCGCTTATAATTAAGCTATCACGTCAAGGATGTTATGGCCGGGAACACAAATGTCTACACTCAAACACCATATGTTTCGTTCGGGGTTATTCTTCCGGAAAATCAGTAACACATCATCCAACATCCTTGATGGGTTGATTTGCCTATTAGCTGGATAATTCTGGTCTCAGATGTTCACAATTTTGAAGTTGTTCCTTGATGTCATACTTTCCTTGGCTGACGATCGAAAGTTATTGTCAACATTAGATGCTTTCAAGGACAGCTCCCACCAGCAAACAGCCTATCGGTTTTATTCTACGCAGCGGTTAGATATTGCTCTTTTTGTGAGCAAATGATACACACATATACGTAACCTGTTTTCGTCACTTCGAGTGGTTGTTGCGTAGACCATAGGACGTGAGGTAAAAACAAACAAACAGTGACGAGATCATCCATCTAAATAGCGTGTCAAGGGTGAACACTTAGTCCCACTTTACTACGCTGATTTGTCCTCTGCAGGTACAGTTTTTGAAATAACCGGAAATCTCACCAACAGATACCACAACAATAGTGTTCAGAACACCTATGATTGCTTAATTCCCTTGAATTATACCCGACACTTCGTCCCTCATTTACAATTGATCTAGCTGAGGTTTAACCTAGATGGTTAATTGTGACAATTCAGGTGCCCAAAATATCAAACAAAGCCGGTTCGGATTTTAGCCGTGTCCCATGGCATTTTCGCGTTATTTTCATTTCCCTGTCGGTGATGCGATTGCCACTGGGAAATCAAAACCACTCGACTGACCTAACGATTCTACGATGAACGTATACCTGACCCATTAATTTAGACACATCGCTGTCCTCGTCAAAACGACTTCAAGGCATGTTCTGCCCTCCCGGGATGGTCACTATGACCAAACTAACTTGATTTTTGCGAAGATTGAGCATTTTCTTCCGGGAATAAGACATGACGGCGTATCAAATACTGCAAACGAAACACCGAGCTATGGAGGCGGCTATATCTGGAGGATGGAATGTTGGTGGCCAATATGAAATCCGGGCATTGTGCGCCCCTTCGCCAGATATCATACGTTCTAGGGTCCAGTAAAAATCGCTTGAGGTACTTGGTGAATAGTGACACGTACGTAGACCAAAAGAGAGTGCTTGACTTCCTCACAAGTCGAGTAGTTGGATGATTTGAAGGAGTATGTAAGAAAATGACCGGAGTACCAGCTGAACAAAGAATCACAGTAGTCACCAACCGATAGAGATGAAATATCCACCGCATATGTAAGGAGTTGGTATTTTTTCGCTCCACGAACGATTTGTCACTGGACCGATAAAGTATTGCCATAACCGATTATGTTAGGTGATAGTTAGAAACCCTTCCAACAAGGGACCAAAGTGGTGTCCATTCTGGACAATATGGTTGCTCAAATCAACATCGGCCAGGGCCCCTGGTTCGAGTCCTGTAGTTTCCTGGATCTCCTGTGTCATTGTCTTTCTACTCTGCCCTCTCGATTGAAACGAATGACGGAAAGACGTAACCGCTCTGTAGAGAGATAGCCCAAAAGTCGACAAAGCAACTGGGAAAATAAGCTTCCTAAATTCTTGTTGAATTAGAGGAAGACGAAACATTTCATGACACAGGTGACTCCATCTGAATTAGTTTACGGTCGGAGACCCAGAACTTTGTTGGACGCATATCTGAGGAGTCAACACAAAGAGTGCGTGTGTGCACAGAGAGTCTAAGCATCCGGAATCGAAGGCCATGGCCCACTGAAACAAAAGACCAACGTACGGTGTGGTGATGAACATCATGCTCGCAAGTGGAAAGCTTTTACGAATGGAGGGACGGCCAAGGTTAAGAAATGAATCTGTTTGGATATTTCAATTCCCGGAACTGCGAAATTCAGAAAGAAATGGCATGGCTTGTTTGGGCTGATTAGTGGTAAAAATGCCAACTTTCAAACCTAATAACGGCCGTGAGGTCAACGGTACACTGGTAGAGAGATACAACGGAAAGAACAAACAACCTAAAGGAAACGCGGTTTTGAAGAATTTAGCCGTACGGTCAAACCACTCGACAAAACCCCGGACCAAGTACCACCAAGCCTTTGCCCTAACACGATGGCCAAACGGTCAGGAAGCAACAAGTGCTGGGAAAGCAGAGAGATCTTTTTGAAGACACGAAATGAGACTACCCCCCAAACAGCATATGGACACCTGAGAATACCTAACGATGAAGGCTCACAACGACCGACTGAGACAGCTTTCTAGCAAGGTACGGAAGCTGACGATTGACAAGAGGAACAGAAGATAGCCAGAAAAACGTTTATCTTACTTCCTTGCCCGAGACATCGGTTCATCAAAGAAATGCTTTCAGCGAACGGGCAATTGTGGACTGCGGCGCGAGTCTAAATCCAGATGGCATATAAACAGTCGAGTGAGAGAGCTAGGTTGTGCCTGTTAACAGGCGTTGCATTGGTGTCACACCTTTCGGTGATGCGGACTTTGAAGAGACCACAACCATCCCCATTGCAGCAAAAGCGGTACAAACAAGCTCTATGCTACCAACTTCATTCCTACTGCATTACCTGTGTCTGAACCAAACGGTGTAGATGACTTCAGTTGAGGAAGTTTGGTACACATCATACAGATTCAACTAGGTAGTCTACGGACGGGAATGCGTATGACCGCAGAAATTATTGGGGAGGACGCCACGCAGGGTACCTCAGTGGGTCGCCTGAAGTAAAGAAACTTGAACACAAAGATGGGGAAGTTGTGGAATATATCTAACGCCTGAGGTTGGTAGTACATCTGAAGGTCCTCAGAGGTTTCTCGTGGCAGAGGCAGCAGTGACGCCACCAAGCTGGCCAGTTATACTAGTTTCACTCGAACAAGCCTTTGTCTCTCGTTTTTCTTTAAAACGAGATGGGACTAGGGGGTTGCGAAGTTGTTGCTTTGGATAGAATAAGTTGACAATGCTGTACTGGGTACTAGTGCGGCGGGAGCGCCAATGATGAGCAATGGCTTGCGAGCAGAAATGAAAATGCTAGGCACGTAAAACGTTGCACTTCTAGTCACTTCATTCGATTTTAGTACTCGAAAACACAAATTAGACCATTCTACAGATAAACGTCCTGTAACTATTGAGAGGAGTTCGATCTTGAGGAAATGACAACCTTCATACAATGCATGCAAAGTCATACAGCCAAACCGAGTCGACACGGGTCCAGTGAGGGTCCGGTAGCGTGTATACGCTAATTTAAACGGCCAACTTTGGATTGCCTCGCGGCTCCGTGAATCCGGACGGTACAGTAGAGCTAGATTGTACGTGCGAATAAAATTTGTCTAATTACATGGTATCTGGCTATAATAACAATTTTTCTTGGCGATATTCTACGAATAAAGCAAGGGTTACATCATCAAGCCGCACGAAATGCTCAACAGCCACTTTGTGGACCAGTCATGCGTCCATTGATAACTCAGCCCGCGACCGTAATTTAAAGCCATTTAAAGCCACTGAAGAACGCCATAGTCCTGCGCACCACGATAAGGATAATCAAAACCATATGTTCTTAGCCATTGTATTATATACAAGCTTCTTCCAGCATTGTGACTACCCACCGTGGTATACAGCTGAAACCAACCCCCAAGAAACATGACTGTATGGGACCAACTGAACTACATACGAATATATACGTGAGTGGCTGGTGAAGCAATCGGTTTTTTACGGGAAACGCGCATCGATCTCATCCTCGGTTCATCTAGAAGTGGGTCAGGTGAATATAAATCTGTTATAGGTTTTAACTGAAATACTAGTATTTCAGCATATATATATATATATTTATATACAGAGAGAGAAAGAGAAAGGGAGAGAGGGACTTAAATCAGTCATAGTCCCACCAGTGTACCACCACGAAAGTGCAGATTGATGTTGCTGATAGTCAATAGAAAAACAAGTCTAACACATGACAAATCAAGTCTCGTTTACTCAAGGGTCACCGCAACTCCTGGGGTATTTAAAGAGCACAGTTTTCACAAAGTCTTAGTCTCAGCATATAATATATATATTTATATACAGAGAGAGAAAGAGAAAGGGAGAGAGGGACTTAAATCAGTCATAGTCCCACCAGTGTACCACCACGAAAGTGCAGATTGATGTTGCTGATAGTCAATAGAAAAACAAGTCTAACACATGACAAATCAAGTCTCGTTTACTCAAGGGTCACCGCAACTCCTGGGGTATTTAAAGAGCACAGTTTTCACAAAGTCTTAGTCACAAGGCATGCCAGCCCTCAGGAAAAAGTCACTGAGAAATAAATTTAATAAAGCAAATGCGAAAAACGAGTGCAGCCATAATAGTCCATAGACTTACAAATTGCAAACTATGCGAAATTGGCGCCAAACCCATCAACGTTTTAAGCTTTGTGAAAGAGGATAAATTTGTACTCAACTACAAATCAAAGCTGTATCGGAAAGAGGAGGAAACAGCGCTTCTCCATGCTTACATAAGGGATATCGTAACAGTAAAAATCAGAGGGCTAGGGCGTGGTGGAAATGGTAGCAATTCGGAAATAACTAAAACAATGAAATAGGGCAGCAATGGCTGGCCTTATTGGATGGGTTTTTCGAGCATTGGACTTCGGATCAACTATGTGAATACATACACATAGCCACTAGATGAATTCAGCCGATCTTTTGATACCAACAAATGAACATCCACATCTCTCTCGTTTGAAAAACCCCCTCTTACCCTGGCGCTACTCTTCTCGTGGGTCCGCACCAAAGGAGGGGCCAGTGGAGCCGAGTTTCCTTCTTTTAGGGTTCACCAGTGGTTTACATCTTTGACCGGACATCTGGCGTGCAAGGTGACCGTGTGGACACCACTAAACTGGTGTATGCATTCCCTGGCTTGAATTCCTGACGGGCGGGTCAATCGATCGACACAACTGGGACAGCTAGTGGGTCCTTATTCGGGGCGTCGGGCCAAACAAACACATCACTCAAGCGTGAATACGACCTCCTGCTCAGATGTGGTGCGTTCAGGGTGCGCTGGTGAAGTAGTGGTAACACCTTGGCCTCACATGTCCGGTGTCCGGAATGTGGACCATGACACGGCCAAGATCATTGATGAGCTCTAATAAGGGCGAAACGCCAGTACAGTGCTTCCCCCCTCCAATGTGGACACTCGAAAATAACCGAGCCAGGACGGGGGGGAAGACTTTCCAAACGTGAGTGATGTAATGTGAAGTCTACAAACCCCGAAATCACCTACAACCCACTGGGAAATCCGCTGTTTTTCACCAAAGCAAATACCAGTGTACACTGTCACTGTTGGGTGGTTGCGAAGGCCTACAGAAAGTGCACACATGGAACCTATAAAAAAACATCACTCCATGATCAAGGACAGCCTGCTGATCAACCGAAAACACATTTTCTTGGCCTAAACTCGATAAAGTTGCGTTCTTTTTTCTAGTGTTAGCAGATCATTACACTGCCGTGGTCGAAGATCAACCAGATTCACATTTCTAAGAATGCATATTGTGTTCGCGCGTGCATGTTACCCTTGAATCAGTGATTTTTCTAGCACGTTTACTTATGTGTTACCATGCCATCGAGATCATGGATGATTTGACAGACTGCTTAACCTGTTTCCACCATTTGACCTATCCAAGGTCATGTATTTTGCCGTCATATACAAAACTAGTTTTGATCTGAGCAAAACCTGGCTGCGACACGTTATCATTTTGCATAAGCTACACAGCATTCAACGTCTAGTACGGATCGAAATCAAAGGACGACTTACCTAGAATAAGTACAAAAATATTTGACTTTCTTCCATCCATATAAAAAGGCCATGATAACCTTAAAATTACTCCGATGTTTTCTGAACACACAACAGTTTGCTTCCGCTAGCTTGATGTCGTAATGGCTTCGAAAGATGGTTGCAGCTCAGCTGTGCACTATGTCTAATTCGGATGGCTTGAGAATTAAGAGGTTACCTTATAACAGATTCTGGTGGTCGTTCAACAACTCTATAATTCAATTACGGAGTTGCTCATTCAGCTATAACTTTGGTCTGTCAATCCTACCAATATATGTTTCACTGCGACATCAGGTAATGTGAGTTTTCTCCTTGTAGAAAACATCCGCCTAAGAGAAATACATAAATGAAGGGAACCCTGATCTCAAATCTCAGGTTTTCCCGTGTAGGTTACGGAAACTTTGATACCTAGGTTTGCTGTATAAAGGGAGCTACTATAGCAAATTCCTGTTCTTATAAGGCAAATCCCTTTCTTAAATAAAAGTTGTTCGAAAGGATTCACTCTGGCTCTGTATAGAAGCATTACGTTTAAAGGCAAGTAAAAAACAGTCACCACACTTGCCGTTCCGTCGAAATTGTGCTGTTAACCTTTTTCGTTCAGCCTCTATGACAAAATGTAGCTGAATTCAAGACGAGTCAAGAGTTGACAGACAGACATCTCCTGATTCCGAAGTCCGTAATAGCTTCCATTTTCTTCACATCAAGTAATTGCAGTGAAGCAGTGAAAACAGTCGAACAAAAAACGTGAGTGATGTAATGTGAAGTCTACAAACCCCGAAATCACCTACAACCCACTGGGAAATCCGCTGTTTTTCACCAAAGCAAATACCAGTGTACACTGTCACTGTTGGGTGGTTGCGAAGGCCTACAGAAAGTGCACACATGGAACCTATAAAAAAACATCACTCCATGATCAAGGACAGCCTGCTGATCAACCGAAAACACATTTTCTTGGCCTAAACTCGATAAAGTTGCGTTCTTTTTTCTAGTGTTAGCAGATCATTACACTGCCGTGGTCGAAGATCAACCAGATTCACATTTCTAAGAATGCATATTGTGTTCGCGCGTGCATGTTACCCTTGAATCAGTGATTTTTCTAGCACGTTTACTTATGTGTTACCATGACATCAAGATCATGGATGATTTGACAGACTGCTTAACCTGTTTCCACCATTTGATCTATCCAAGGTCATGTATTTTGCCGTCATATACAAAACTAGTTTTGATCTGAGCAAAACCTGGCTGCGACACGTTATCATTTTGCATAAGCTACACAGCATTCAACGTCTAGTACGGATCGAAATCAAAGGACGACTTACCTAGAATAAGTACAAAAATATTTGACTTTCTTCCATCCATATAAAAAGGCCATGATAACCTTAAAATTACTCCGATGTTTTCTGATGTCGTAATGGCTTCGAAAGATGGTTGCAGCTCAGCTGTGCACTATGTCTAATTCGGATGGCTTGAGAATTAAGAGGTTACCTTATAACAGATTCTGGTGGTCGTTCAACAACTCTATAATTCAATTACGGAGTTGCTCATTCAGCTATAACTTTGGTCTGTCAATCCTACCAATATATGTTTCACTGCGACATCAGGTAATGTGAGTTTTCTCCTTGTAGAAAACATCCGCCTAAGAGAAATACATAAATGAAGGGAACCCTGATCTCAAATCTCAGGTTTTCCCGTGTAGGTTACGGAAACTTTGATACCTAGGTTTGCTGTATAAAGGGAGCTACTATAGCAAATTCCTGTTCTTATAAGGCAAATCCCTTTCTTAAATAAAAGTTGTTCGAAAGGATTCACTCTGGCTCTGTATAGAAGCATTACGTTTAAAGGCAAGTAAAAAACAGTCACCACACTTGCCGTTCCGTCGAAATTGTGCTGTTAACCTTTTTCGTTCAGCCTCTATGACAAAATGTAGCTGAATTCAAGACGAGTCAAGAGTTGACAGACAGACATCTCCTGATTCCGAAGTCCGTAATAGCTTCCATTTTCTTCATATCAAGTAATTGCAGTGAAGCAGTGAAAACAGTCGAACAAATGACATAAGCGCATGGATTGCCGATCATTTTTATCTGGTAATGAACGCCCTGGATTAAAGGAGGTCAATAAATGCGTGACTGCCGTATTGTCTGCCATTGACGTGATTTACTGAAGACCTGTTTCTCTGATGAGCTTCAGATCATTCACGCATAGGATAGTAAAGCTTGATTGTGGCTGACTTGATCAGTTAGTTACTAGTTGATCCGTTCACCAAGTCTGGAAATCGGCTTACAAAATTTCTGTCACCATACGCGGCGAAACCGTGCTTTGGGTGACTCCTAATGCGTTCCTTAAGTGAATGATTTTCTAACATGATCAGAAATCAAAGAGCGTTTCCACTGTCGAAGAATGGAGACGTTGATTTGAGAGACCGTTTGGCCAATTCGAGGTCCCTAGTTTGCTTCGGACTAAGGTCCATGAACTTCACTTACTGGAAGCTGATGCACTATAAACCCTAAAATTGATGCCTGCCAATTTTTTGGATGGCACGGTTCATTATAGTTACCCGAGAAATTCTACTCACAAGAAAAGCACGCTTTTGGGGAAGGAGAATATTGCTTCTGGCCTGGATGCACCAGTTTTGACAGCTGCTTAGTAGTGCCGCTTCTACGGTAACCTTATCTACAGATTTTTCTCCTGAAAACCCTATAATAATGAATTAACCAACCCGATTGTTCCTTCCCCTTTTTTACAGGAGCAAAAGGAATCCGCCCCAGACCCGACCGCTGAACATTTGGCTCTACAAACAGAACTCGGAGATGCGCGGCTTCGAGAAGCTGAACTTACAGTTGCGTTTGGCGAATTGCAGGAACGTGTGGCCGAAATCGATCGGATAATCGAGACAGTAAGACTTAATTAGAAAAAAAACCATTTGCTTCATCGCTTGACTAAACAAATTATCTTGAAATAGGATGTCGGCCAAAGCAATGGCAACTTGAGGGATTTGGCTTCCAGATCCAATAGATGAATTATATTTTTTCACCAGGTGTTACCTATGAGGGAACTAAGGTAGTGATAAGAGTAATCTTTGATAGTGATTTCAGAATCCCCTTGGACATTTCTGAACTTGTATTCGAAAGCAGCTTCATCTAAAAATTCATCCAACTTTTAAGATTCACTGTGCTTTTTTAGGGATACTACTGATATTGATTCATTCCCACATGTCGATTTCTGTATACTCCGCTTGAATTTCTACCACGATTACTTTTTAAAGTGCATGGAAGATTCTAGATTGAAGACTAAAGGGAGAGGAATTGCATTTGCCCACTCTGATCTAATTTCGAATACCGAAAAGTCAGTTTGAAGTGGTTTATGCTAGCTTCCGCCAAGAAAAGATTGATGGCATCAGTTTTACTTTTGTGTTGTTTGCAGCTGTGTCTAGAATGCAAAATAACAGACATTGATTTTTCCGGATCTCCTCGTCAGGTCAACATATATCCAGTGGTCAGAATAATGGTGACCGTTAAAATTAAGAATCCAAATGTTATCGCCGGTTGAAGATAAACCGAGAAAAGCTAAATCGCGGTTGCCAAGCTAAGCGAGCATAAAGCAAGTCAAACCACGTGATGTTTCTCTTTGCAGTATTCTGTAAACATACTGCTGGCTGATAGACTATGACTAGCAGCGTTCCAAAGTTATTCACTGGTTCAAAACGAGTCCTCTGGACCCGCGCTTTGGATCAGTGCGCTTGTTTGTTTGCAGCAGACATTCGGAAATGCTGGGTTACGACTTGACCTCCAATCTTTTGGTTGGGAGTATACCTGGTCTACCTACTGGTTGAAGGACATATCTTTGTGGGTTTTCGATAGATCCTGGCTCGTCCTGTCAAAGTAATGACTCCGCAACCGCAAAAGAAGTGTCAGAGTTACGTACCTCGTATGTGTGTCGCACTACAGTGGATCAATAGCCCTTGGCATAAACGCATTTCTGTGTGACGAGATACTGGCTTCAAGGCACTGACTAACTGAAAAGCTCTATAAACTAGTCACTGCTCACCTTCATGGAGTGCTAGCTTTAATGTTTACTTTGGTATCGACCCTATTAATGCTCTCCAAAACTACGTGACCTTGACCACAGCAAGTTCAGAAAACCGGCCATCTGCCACTCCCCCAGAGTAAGATGGGCGGGAGTGAACTATAGTTTCTGAGAGCAAAAAAGTTAGTTGTAGCTAATACCCCAAGACAACCACTTGTGAAGTATCGGCGTCTACCTTCGCCAAGCTTGCTCGGTCATCGACTGCCTCCAGGCCCATGCACTGCAATTTTATATGAATTGGTCGATATTCACCAATAAAAGAAAATACTGCCCAAGTATTTGCATGAGTTAGGCAATAACACACTGACGAAAATTATTGTTTCTCGGATCTCGTCAGCACATCAATTGGTTAAAATAGGAGTACGTAATAAAATAAACAGTTATGATTGACTACTGAGTTAGAAAATGTGATAGCACAGATGATTGGTCACCAGCGAACCCCGCGCTGCATCTGATTGGATGGTGACTACAAGTTGGCCTCGAAGGCTGATGGGTCACTGGGTCAATTGATTCGTTTCACATGAAGATGTAGTACTCGTACGAAGCGTTTTTGACAGCATAGTGACGAAATTCGCAATCGTATCGCGACTGCTTTGGCTGCAGTCAAGTCGCGCATTCGGATCGACACTGGCAGTCTTTCAAGTGACGTGAGTGGTTTCATGTTTTCCGATTTAGTTAGCTGTTTATCTTTTGGTCGTTGGCCTGTTTATTTTGTATTATTTTTGGCATTTAACTCTTATTATTTACCCCTATTTTAGCGATTAGATATGTATTGAAGTAGAGACAAAAGCCCGAAAACACCATCGTTTGTCACAGCTGTTTTTGCAGAGAAAGTATTTTTGTAGCATAGGTCGGTTGGTGCGTATAAGCACCCCAACTGACCACCAAGCGTGAACAGGACATGCCAGTGAACTACTGAAGGTAAATTTTAGTCACGCTCCACTCGTGCTGCATTAAAAAATAGGGAAGATGTTGGTACATTGCCAAAGACGATATCGAATGGGAAAACCAGAGCAGTTTTTGTAAACCTGCGTTTCCTGTCGCAGCTTATATATCCGGGGTGCATTGTATGTTGTTCTGTGAGCCCGAATCCTGGTCTCTACCCGATACAAAAATCCTTTAGTACTCGAGTCGGATTGGAACATCGGAATAGTGCTGAATTCCGTCGAGTGCTTTTGAGAAGAAATAACTCGTCTACGGTAGATGAAGTTTGCGCTGGCTTGTTCAAGTGTCACGTATGCCAGTGGACCGACTTCCTCAAAGGCCCTCTTCACACGCCACGCGTAAGATGAAAACGAGCCAGAGGAAGTTAAGCAATGGCCCCACATCGGTGTTTGTTAACCGCTATCAGTGAATGTAGCTGCATTGGTCATTCCCATTTTCCTGGATTGGGAAGGGGGACGTCCTCGAGATGGGGGGCGTCAGACGTTGGAAACATTGACAGTATGGTCCAATCATGGCGCTCATGCATCCAAGCTGTTGATTTCAGTGCATCGCTCCCCTTACTATCTCCTTAATGATAGGTTAACTGACGCTTCTGAATTTACGCATCAATTATATCAGCTACTGCCTCCAGTGCGTAGCTATCCACCCCTGTCTTCCCAGCTTAACGGCGAAGTAAACTGTGGCGGTTACAACCATTGCACAATATGTACTCTTTTCTTTCATCTGAAAATGTTGACTATTTATACGATCTGTGCGCATTCCTGATGCGCCTAGTTAGCTTAACTAATAAAATTCTCTCGCAACTGAGTGTTGTGTAGTTGATCGTATGTCATACGGTAAATCAGGACGCGCCAAAATTAGGCCTGTAGTCAACGTCGGTTTTTCTAAATTTTCTGGTCATTTCAAAGTGGTGTGAGCTCAGTTGCTCGATAAAACCTCAGTTCATTAGCTGGCCTTGTCAAGAAAAACAAAGTATTCTTGTTCCACAAATGTGCGATGAAAGTCAGACTCTCAGGACACTGACCTGATGATTGAAAGCTGCCGCCGGTTATTGCGGAAGCATCATTCAACACAACGAAGCCATAAGACCTCTTCTCATGCTGTTTCCTGAAGATGCTCTGGAAGATCACTTGCGTTCCAGTATGAGCACACATTAAACTGTGCTGGCTAACATATATCAGATTAGTCTGCCTCAGAACGCTTCACGATATCAGGCAAGTTCAATCTGTTCTATGAAAGTTTGGGACATAAGCTAGTGACTCTCCACTTTCAAACCGATCGCGGAACAGGCTCTATATTTACGATATGTCCATGTTAATCAGTTCGAATTTTAAGCTTGGCAAAATACTGGGATGTTGACACTTTGGATTCGACACGTTCATTCCGGAAAAGGACCGCAGATTTCATGGGTAGACATGTCTGCGGAGTGAAAAACTATACTCATAATTGAAAATAGACAATGTTGTCGTTTAAGACGTCTGATCCACTGTGGTTTTGATCGCAGCTCAGTGGTCAGCTCCCTTGTAGACAGCATGTGAGTAAAACTGAGTAGGGGAAAGTCCAGACAGGCTAATTCACTCTGAGGTAGCTAATGGATTCGAGCAATCAAGGAGAACGGTCACGTAGGAACACGCAGCTACAGTTTATTCGAGTCTGGGGGTTTGATTACCGATTTCACGGAATTCAGTTTGATCAGTTATTACAAATTTCGATTTTTGCGTAGTGACTTGTCTGAGGATGATCGATCAAGCAGCTCAAAGGGACATGAAACAATGAATGATGAAGTAAAGTAGACTGTCTTTGGGAACATAAAAATAGCCGCGCATCAGTGGATCCAGACCACGATGAATCCCCAGTGTGCGATAATTTTATCTCAGACGGCACCAACTGAAGAATAACTTGGAACGTACATAAGCTTGACAGGCTGCTTATAAGGTCATATTTTCAACTTGTGAGCCTCCTAATATGGACCAAGAAATGTGGCCAACTCCCCGGAAAACTGACCACATCCAGAGAGTGCTAATTTAGGCAGGTTCCTATTGTAGTATCTCCTGAGAAAATTACTGTATTTTGCTACAAAATGGCCATTCTGAAACCAGGTACCTTTTGATTGTATTGAGAGAAACTTTGATATGGTAATCATGATAATCATAACTTCAAGTTGTTGGGCTTTGAAAATATTTTTTCATGAGGATGTAACACCTAGCGTAATTCGCCTGAGTGGTAAATGAACGAAATTTCGTAGAGATGGAAAGCCTTTTGCAAAGAAGGGTGGATTATTCCCTGAATTGGCATGAAGTCAGCAATAATATCCAATTAAGAACGAAATCTAGCAACGGGGGCTTTGAAGATGTCAAATTCACAGTGTATTTACACACTGGAATATTAATAGGTACATAGCCAATGCATCCACCAGGCTTCTAATCTGATTTATCCACTGTTCGAAATGTCGACTAATGTGCCCATTTTATGTCCCTCGATTTTGTGTTAGAAGTCACTTGGGGAATTAAGAATGTAGTAAAATTCATCTGTCGTTCAGACAAGCTTCCGGATTATGGTCTGTACTACTGACGTCAAGGGTGAAGCACTCTCCCCCCGAGAAGGTATTTCGATATCTCCTGGAATTTAAAAGAATCACGTAGCATCTTCCTTCTCAGTCATGGTAGCCAGACTGAGTGTGTGTGGTTCAAAAGTCTCTTGAAACGTTTGTTAGCAGTTCTGTGAGTTGCACGCCATTCAACAACATCCAAGAATATGGATTTGCTCTGATCACTTGTTTTCAGTGGGTTGGAATTTCTCTTTTTCCTAACAAAAGCTGATGGGACATTGGTCAGCTACTCGGCGATGTAACTGTGTGAAGATGATTTGCACCTCTTTGTTGCAGGATCCGGAAATGCTCGCATTCTTCAATGCTGTCACCATATCCACTACCACGCTGTCTAAACAGAAGCCTCTACAGAGAACAATGACTGCCAATCCTGGATCACCCAGTCTACAACAAAAGCGAATGCATAGGGCTGATAGAGGTGGTAGCTTTTCAAGTCAAAAACAGTGCGCTTATATAAATGATCGACGCACGATCAGCAGGTATACTACGAGCCCGGGGAGAGCTAGACGAAGTCGAGTGACGGGGGACAGTTACAATAACACCACAGATTTGGACGCGGAGCCAACCCATCGATCTGGTTTAGAGTCACCACAGAGTGACAGCGGGTGCAGTTTGAATAGCCACACGGCATCAGACTTGACGGAACATGCAAACAGTTATGAAGATGGGGTGTCACACGTGAAACAAAGACCCCGGCCATATGATACTCACCATAAAGAACACTTTGCAGAAGGTGATACATCTGAACAAGGCTATGAGGAGGATCGCTGTTTCAAGAGTAATCGACCTGAAGGTTTTGTCTCTTTATTAAGACGCAGTAGAAGTAGTGTGGCTGAGCATCCTTACGCTTCGGGTTTTCATAGCGAAACGCATTCACCTTCATCGCAAGCAGACGATCACTTCACATTCAACTACAGGCACACAGATAACACCCCTACTCCTACAGACGGTGGCCACACACCACTGTCCCCGGATGAGCCACTGTCCACAAGAAGCGAACCAAGGGGAACTGTCTCGAGTAACACACAACACGGATTGGACCGATTCAACAAGCTCCGAGCGTCATTCAAACAATCGTTTGGTTTGGGATCAGCAAAGCCTGATTTTCGGATGGAGGCTTTTGCTGCAAGGCAGGGAGAGGCCCGAGCACTGCTCAGTTTGAGGGAGACAAGAATGGAGGTGAGTAGAGCTCTTTATAGAGATTCAAAAGTGTAAATCACACAGTGAGGGACGGTGCGTCCCATATAATTCATATCTAGCTGGATGGTACATGCGTCAACTACTAACTTGAAGGCCGTTGTTTCGAAGGTCACTGGGAGCCCATGGGAAGAAAAGTGTTGATCATTCTTGATAAGGCTGTGGTAGCTACACCGTGTTTCGCGACTTATATACAGAATGAGAGAAGGTTAGAAGCTTCAAAAGTCCACTATTCGGTTTCGAGGAGTGATAGACAGACTTCGTTTCTCCAGTGTATACAGTAAGCTAGGTCTTCCTTCTTGACAGATGACTTCCAAACCCAATCTAGACGAAGATGATACTCCCTTTCTCGAGGAGTTAGAGCTAGGCAAGACGAGTCGTGCATGGCGGTCTTCCATTATGTGCCTTTCTCATTTCCGTTTCCAATAGTGTTATTTATCCGCTCATCCCCTTAGCTATTACCTTAAGAAACGATTACATATTTCGTCTTTTTTATCATCCCTCTCGTCGAAATATCTTAGTGACAATGAACAGACGTTTCGTCATCGCACCCCTTTTCGTAACCAGCCAGTGGGTTGGCGTGCCTTCACGCACTTCCTGTTGTACTGATGGTTTGTGAAATGCAAACTCAAACAAGTATATTTGTAAATAGTTTAAAAGGTTTGGGGATAATAGGTGAGAGATCATTGGTTATATTTCAGAAGTAACTTTTGCCGATTAAGATTTTGTGTTTTTCTCAGATGGGGGCCATTGACAGATCCAGGTAAAGTCAGTATCTATCTTGACGACAGAGTGGTGGTTGCCGCGACCCGACAGTAATGATGTTTTTTCGGATGGCTTTCAAACAGTTAGGGGGCACATGAGAAATTAGGCTGAATGATTGATCTGGATCGACTTGGTGAGTCGCACCAATCAGATAGTTTGCAATCGCACAAGTGGCACGACTCGGAGTGTATCCGAGAGATTAGCCGGTCATTTACAGTCCTGCATTCGCTAAACACACGACCATTGCAATTACAAATCACCTGATCGATAGAAACAACCTATTCACCCCGGCGCGATTTATCGAGTGTCGCTTAAACGTTCGATGGACGTCCGACAAGAATGCACTAAACACGCCAGAGCCGATTGCAGTCAGATTCTGTCAACCAGCAATTTGTCATTCAAAACGGTACGTGAAGTCAGTGACTTTACCTAGATTCAGCAACTTCTCACTTCTGAGAGGAACTCACAGTTGTAACCGGTGACATCATACTTATCATCACCTCAACCTTGCAAACTGTTTAAAAATTACTCGTCTGATGAAATCTTATCGAAAACACTGTTCACCTACATTGTGTACCACCTCAGCAGGTTCTTTTCAATAGAACTGCAGGACAAGTTTAATCATAGGTGAGTACCGCCAAGAACATTTGGCTAATTCGCAGACCTTGGGGGCGATTGAAACCCCTCAACACAGATATTCCTCCCAAAAAACTTAAAGTAGCGAACACACAATCAGGCAGTGCAAAGTGAATGGGTGTCAGCGTATTTCTAGTCATCCTGTAAACCGCTTTGCACGTTGACATTACTCAGTTGCGCCATATAATTTCCGTTGATTTATCTGAGATCTAACGTTTATTTGCCGCCACTAACAGCGGTTTTTCGGTTGACGTAATATCACGCATGTCAAATGCACTAAACATCCAGGAAACAGAATGACACAAATGTTGGTGAGACGTCCCCTGAGACAAGAGACGCAACTGTGTGTGTGCGTAGCATGGTGGTTTAAGGGCTCACCTTGCAAACACCAGATGACCTTCAAACTTTCATTAGCTGGTTTGTGAGAATGGATTTGAATTTTCATGGGTAAGCAGCAAATTAGCAGCGGCCTCCGGATGAGACATAAACCTTAGTTCCCAGGAAATCCATTTTAACCCTGAAAAGTAAGTGAGACGGTATTTTCGGTATGCAGCCGAATTTTCATGTAATCATTCAGCCAAAGTGTATTTATTGTGTATTGAGCTAGTGATAGGTCAGCTTATCTGTTTCAGAAGGGAGTACACCAAATTCTGACCAGAATGAGAGGCTCATCTGTCGGCACTGGCCAAAAGTGTACTTTAAATATGACTTCGTATCCTTCGTTATAACGATATTTTCACTACTCAATCTTTTGGTGTCTGTTATCAGTCGAAAAGCTGGACCTTCTGCTCCAAATTCCAGACATTCATCCACACAGGTAGGCTTACAGCGTGCAACTGCTAAAATGGCTGCGACTTGACAAAGCACTGGCGTCACTTGTTGAGTTAGCAAACCAGACGCTAGTCGGATGCTTGAAGCACTTAGAAGATTGGCGATACTTCTAACATGCAGCTGAAATGCGTTTTTTGTGTGCCATTGCGGCGCAACCTTTATGCTCTCTCTGTATTCACACGACTGTCGTTCAAGCAGTCCTGTCCTGATGTGACGCCTCTATCCAGTCCACACCAAAATAAGAGCTTCCTTGATTTGTGAAGACTAACCAGCAGTTCATGTATATAGTTGGAGCTTCGGTATGCAAGACACGCGTATTATCACTATCCTACTGACGTTTTTTGAATCCACCGTACTCACTAGACCTCAGTAGGCATAAGTGCCCGCTCCTGGTTTTTCTGGCTCTGACTTCACTGTCACCTGCCGTCACGCTTAAAGTTGTGGGATGTGTCAATCTGATCTGTGCATATTAAAATTAACTCCAGGAAAAAAGTGTTGCTTCTATTGATGTCCTAACATGAATGTGATTGGTCCAACAAAGAGTGAGACAAACAATGGTCTTGCTTCCATCAGTTTGAAAAAGCCTTGGTCCTACGCCAATATGGAAAACAAATGCATGAGCCGGCGGTGTAGTTTATTCCTAAACTTGAGCTCTATTGAAGCGTTTTTATGTCCATAGTTTCAGTCGAACCGACTGGAGCTACAACTCTAATTGTTTGTTATTGCACACTACTTGCTTGGAAGTAGTAATTGAATCACATTGGCGGGAAGCTTTGGAAATGGAACGTGGCGTTTATTCTCGGCTTTTCAGAGAAAAGACTGGCTCCACCGACGGCGGAATTTCAATTTTGTGAATACTTGTGGGGCACACATTAAGTCTTGCAGTCTCCCACTCCGGTGTCTTGGTGCCAGAAATAGGCTTAAAAACAAGAACAAACAGCTTTATTGGTAACAGGCGAGTGGACAATTACAAGGGGCTTCGCGCTTTTTGAATGGTACTTTTAATCAATTCAGGTCGTTGCTAATTGCTTGCTTGCTTACTTGATTGATTAATTGATTAACTGTCCTGGCTGCCTATCTTCTTCCACGTTGGCATTTTGGTAGTGTGAGGATCTCAGTAGGTTTCGGACATGTTGGGATTATTTTCAGGAAGCATTTCAGGTACCTGCCAGGCTCGCCCACAAATACAGGCCTTACTTTATCCACTCCGGATTCAATCGCAAAGGAATAACTAATGAAGAACGCCGAATCAAAACAAATCCAATCAGTAACTGTGAGCCATCTGCGTAAAGAGACAAATCGCGTCAGTGCGGTGGAAAATTGCATCAGAAAACGCCAAACTTCAGGAGATAGTTTAACGTATGGGTCGTTTGAACGTCTTGTCTCGAGTCTATTGGGTGCAGTTGGCCGCCCAGCATAGTTTCGACTTAGTTTGGTACACTTGGACTTCCAAAACCCTTGACGATTTTGGCTTAAACGAAAAAAAAACCGCCAATACTGATTTTGGTAGATTCCGTTTGGCAACATCACATGCATGTGATTTTCCCGCAAAATATGAGGAGTTCCGCTGAACAAACAAACCAACTGAACCAATACGCAGGTCAGAGGAAGGATACTTTCACTGGATGTGTGAAGCTTTCTGCTGAGAAGTTGTCACTCGAAGAGTCAATCAATGCGTGACCACGTGATGTGGTTCCCCTTATTGAAAGATGAGTGGTGCTATGTCTTATCTAGGTGAGAGCTAATCACGCTGCTGATCAGCCTCTCCTGGCCAGACGGCTAAGTTTTCAACCACTGGCGGGAAGGCCATGAGTTCAAAACTCACTGAGTTTCGTTAGATGCGCACTGCTGCTGATTCCCAACAAGGATGAAAGAGCTGTACAGTGGTTCTCGGCCTTTTAGCAGACTGACCCCATTGACAGGATAAAATCTCTGCTGAATATTGTCAAATCTCCTCACATTGTAACTACATCCTTCCGAGTCTCCAGATTTTCTATGGGGTGGTTCTCGTATGAAACAACTTGGTATGACCCCGGAAATATTATGAGATGGTGTCATGAGTAGAGTAAAACTTTTAGATACACCAAATATCGTACCAAACGAAACCTGAGGCGGCCTGGTGCAGCACATCTAGTTGAAACGGACCATCATAAACGAGAGATCCAACTGGATCCATTTGAGTCATTTGTCAAGACCAAACTAGTGTGTACATAAGATTATTTATCGAAATCCATCTAATGTCCATTTAAGACATAAGCTGAGGGGGGCTCGGGAACTGTGGCTACCGGATGAGCCCCAAGATGGACGTGGTAGGCCATGAGCTGACGAAGAGTTTTCAGCAACCTTGTGAGTAGCATGCTACTTTTAATCCCATTTGAGTTTCTGTAGTGAACTTTGAGCTCCATGGTTATAGTGCTTTAGCATGGCCTACTAAACGATTTGAACGAAAACGTGGTCTGTGATTAAGGACCACACGGTTTGTGTATTCAGCGCTGATGTCATGCAGACTCCTCGTTGATTTGCATCGTGATGCCTTGTACAAATGACTTACTCTGCTTGTTTACTGGATGACTTCGTTCACACCCGCACCATTTAGAAATGTGCGCAAGTGTACACAAGAGTACAGTACGGAAAAGGGACAAGAAGATAGCAAGCGGGATCGACATAGTTCATGGTTAAATACGGCGAAGAAACAATTGTTCCTAATCCAAACGACATTTGATCCAGATGTATTCTGGCCTTGGCACAATCGAGCAAGCTTCAAGAAGAATGCCTGAACAGAACCTTGTCACTATATGGAGGACTGTTCCTGCAAGAAGAATGCTGAACAGCACCTTGTCACTATAGGGGGGCCTTTTCCTGCCATATCATCGTTATACATCAGGGCTTGGGGAATGGTTTTAAGCAGAATTACGAAAAGGAGGAACTTTTTCGGAAACTTTACAAGTGGCATGTCTCTCTCGGAAATATGAAAGTTTTCGTCTTCGAGTGAGAACATTATGAGCAGCTAATTCAGTTGAGGGAATTTCCCTTTCCTGAAATGCAGAGCTTAACGAGCTCCAACAATGAGTAATCATTTAGTGTCTCCCGTTAAAATCAAATTAGTTTGCACATTACTGCATTTTTCGAACTGCTCGCATTTTTGGTCCAAACAGAATCTAAGATTGATGGAAACGGCACGCAACTGATGAGCTCCATAAAGGCCATCTTGGGATGTGGAAGAGTTCTCAGCAGCCCCGTGATTAGTGCATTCCTCATGGACCGTAAAATAAATTTCTGTAGATTTAAGTTCCATTTACAAGAGGATGGGTTCCTGGCAAGTTCTCAAAAAAAGCTCAGACTGTGACGACACCTTTGATGACCTTTGAGACAGCTTCTTAAATCACCCCGTATTTGGAAAAACAACGAACCCCAGTTCCCGGATCTCAGGTGCAATCCGCCAGCATTATTTTCATTTTGACATCTGTTGGTCACGTATGTCTTCTTCCTTTGAAATAGCTACTTCGAGTTCAGTCTCGATGTCAGACACTGCAGCGACATATGGAACGACTGGAAGCTATCAACACATCTCGTATGGAGGAACTCGAGGCGGCAGTTAGTGTGGAGCGGGATCTTCGACAGGAAATTCGTGGACTACAGCGACGGATTTTCGAATTGGAGGCCGAAGTAAGTGGTACATAGTAGGCAATAAGAGGTAGTACGTGGTGAACCGCGCAACTACGAAACAGACTTCATCAATCAAAGTTTATCAGGTTTAACCTTTAGTCAGCATGTGGGGAAGTCATTTAATTATTGTCCTTTTTAAAGTAATTCCCATGGTATGCTTGTTGTGTACGTTATTGGTTGTTGATCAGGTGGTTGTTGATCTTTTCGCCGACCTTGGCAATTGACTTCTAAACGTTTCGTCACCATACGAGGAGACATCAGTGCGCAGTTGGGTGCGTACCTTCTTGTGTATTCCGACTTTCGCAAAACTCTTGTAAAGGTGCAGATGGAAGACAATGAAAGAATACTTTGTAGCACGGTCAAACTAAGAAATATTCCTGAAGGAAACTAGGGCTCATGCAAGTGAAAAGAAATTATACTAGCTGCGGCATTTCTTCAGTAAGCCCGGTCGATCAACCGAATTGTCCGCCTCCTCCAACCCTCAGATTCACTTATCTCATGTCTTTTAGCAGATGCACAGGTTACAGGACTTTCTGTAGTTGCTAACATTTAATGTGGAGTTATCGCTGTGTTGTCCACTCGTTCCAATGTGTCGGCTCTAATGTGACTCAAGTGAATAGCTCAAAATGTACATGGATAACCATCATCAAGGAATGTGGGGGAGGGGCTATAAGTTTCCTAAAAGCATTTCAAATACTTTAATCTCATGTTTAACCTGAGTGATTAATTGGCGGGTGTTCCAACCTCTTGGAACATACCGGAGCACCTTAAAATTATTTCACAGCCCACTATCGAGTACACATACTGATTATCGCACAAATCGAATGACCTGATAGATTTTAACATATGACTCATGTGGGGAAATTTGAAGTAAAGTTTCAATGCAAAAACTTTGAGTTTCGACGCTAAAGTTCGTACACTTTCTGTCAAAAACTGAATGGGACTGATGGAAATTAAATGGAATTAAATGGATTACATGCGCGGCAGACTTTCGAGCGAGGTTTATCATTGCCCCAATTTCAACTTTGGTTGCTGTCTGAAGGAAGTCCTTCCGTTGTCATCCGTTCACTTTCTTCGTAATCACTACTTCAGCATCGAGAGTTCCGTGTGAATCAACGCATCAAAGAAATGGAACTGATGAGCAAACTGGCGGAGGCCAACCTTCAGCTGTCACATGTTGAACTGACCAATCAACAGGCAGTAGTGTGGACTGAACTGAATAAAGCTCATGACGCGGCATCCGACCTTATGACACACACGCGCGTGTCACAACAGTCAGTTGCTAGCTCGCCGATAGATCCGATCGGTTCGCAATCATCTGAGGACAATGTCAGGGTGACTGTCGAAAGGAGTATACACGAGCGAGGCAACCAAGCAGGACAACAAACCTCAGCCGCACCTGTGAAATTGCGCCCGTCTGTGGAACATTCTCTTACACGACTGGACAGTGGAAAGCGTCGGAATGAGGTGGGTTTGAAGAGCTCTACTTATTACGACCTCCACAGCATGGTTGTTATCACTTTTATCAGTATAATTCCGAACTATAGGCTATATAAGTTCCTACAACTTCCGAAAAATGACACCCTTGTTATACCAGTTTTAACCACCATTCAACAGCTGATCAGCTTTTACAGGGTTGCAACGCAACACACGCTCACCCACAATTCCACCGAAGTTCCTAATGCATCGGACAAAGGAGCTAATCGCTTTCAAAATTCACTGTAGGAATAAATTCTTCTATGGCGTGCAATGTAGACAGAATCCAGTTACAAATATACGGCATAAACAGAGTGTTACAATAAGCCACACATTCCCGGCCAATCATTCCCACCGAAACCAAACATGGCGTGCGGTGCGTGCAAAGCGTTGTTTGTAACATGTGGCTGGAGTGCTGTGGATACTACTGACGGGGTATGCGAATAGTATGTGGTTTTCTTGTTACTCCGCCTTGATCTAATGGAAGGTGGGGTGCATTACGGAATTCGTGGAACTGCTCTGCAGCATTTGTTTACAAATGCGAATATTCAGGACGGTTCAAGAAGACGCATTCAAGAAAAAGACGGATATTCGTTTTTTTTAAAAAAAACAAGATGCATATAAGAGTTTTATTTTCCTGTCCCATAACCCGTAACTGTTCACTTGGTGTTTTTTTTAAATTAAAAAACTCAGCGGCGAAGGGCTTTCCTCCTTTCACCTGTAGTTGCAGGGCAAGCAAGAACTTACGTTCCTCTCCAAGCACTTTACTGAGTTCCAAAAAACTGAGCAAACAGGCAAAGCAGAGTACACCCTCATTGTGATAACACAATACAAGTCATTGGGCTGACCGAACGCCTTTGTAACACAAACCCGAGTCCGCCAGTGCAACTTTAGTGACAAATTGGTATCGACTGGTCTAATGTGCGACGCGTAGTATCGCCTGTTGAAAAATGGATTGTCTTTAGTAGTGCAGCTCGTGGGAGAGTTGAAATGTTGACGTGTCACGATTTTTTCTCTCTCCGTGTTAGCAGTTTGTAGAAAATCTGGTATACTACACGGCACGATAAACGTACATCAGCTTTGACTGGAGGAAGAATGCTGTTCACGCAAGACGATAAGTTAGGTGTACTGATCCGTAAAGTTAGTTTTTTCTTGGTTAAAGGCTTTCAGTTTGATTTCACTCAGTTCAAAATTCAGGCCAACGAGAGGCCTCGAAACCAGGTCGTTCAAACGGTATTATAAAATCTTATCGACCCGGCCACAGCTAGATTCTTCCACATCGCGTCCCGCTATTATGGCCATCATCAGATTCATATCTGTTCCTTTGTTCTAAACAGCAAGTTTCCGCGTTTTTGTTTGAAACAAGGTGAGTAAATTGGGTGACAGCAGCCCCACATATATAACCTACATGTGTTTGGATTTCATGATAGGCGTTGGGCAACGACAGTTGCAGGGCTGACTGACCTAAAAGGATTGTGTCTCATTATCACCGTAAGTAGCCGCTGTAACTTAATTTACTTTATTCGCATCCAGCCTATTTCTGATCACACCTATCTGTCCTAGAGTGCTCACTGTGAAGCAATTTCCGGAGTTATGAAAGTCAAACAGAAACTATGTACTGTTGGCGGACCGCTTTCAAATCGCTACAGCCGTCAGACTTACAAACCCTAGCACATTCCAGCGATCTACTGTGGTCCACACACTCGATCTTCGCGATGATTTTTATCGGCTTGGTACTGGAGAAGCGACTGCTTGGAGTTTTGGTCAGTGGTTGAACATGGGCTTTCGCTTAAATAGTTGGTTGTTCATATATTCCTATGGCCGCACAGAGTTCGGGAATAAGCTTACCGCTAAATGCAGGCATGTAATGTGAGAGGAATGTTTTTCGACTTTACAAAATATTGTCAGTGGCGAATTACACTGGTGTTAAAGAGCGAGTCAGAATGAACCTCTTGTTTTCTTCAACAAAATTTTCTGCACAAAGGCCGTCCCACATTTAAGTTGCCACTTTATTCCAGGTATCGCAGTACATTTTCTTGACAGAACATTCTACTAATAAGGCGTTCAAGTAAAATGTACTTACCAAGCTGATGAACCTCAAAAATAGTAAAATCGGTCCTGGGTCAAAACTTGTGAGCGGCCTTATGAGTGGCGTGCTCTGTCAGGACGTTTTCGGCATGTTTATCGCTGCTTCACATCAGGGCGCGAACTACTGAATGATATTTCACAAACAAGAGCGAAAAATCAGCAGTATAGATAGACTACTATCTTACCACAAGAGCTACACGCGCAAACTACCTTAAATACAAAAAGATATGACGAACTAAAGCAATTCAACTCCACATACATCTAATTTCTGTAGTGAAAAGTTACGGTGACTCAGTGACCTTGTTAACGTGGTAACCCCCATACCGCCCTGAGAGATTTCAGAAATGATGTCCCGGTGTTCCCGAAGTGGAAATGTCCTCATCAGGACTGCACCAACGAAAAACCGACCTTCAATTCAGTTCGCATGAAAAACATGGACGACCTTTAGGATGAAAGACAGAAATAACCTTATCTATTGTGAGAAATGCCTGTAGACTAACCATATGTCAAGCGTTCAGTAGATGTGTACTATTATATGCCACTTCATTTTCGTTGCAGAATACCATAGAGCGCGACCAAAACAATTCATGCCAGGATCTGTTCCAAGACAAATCGTCTAAGTTGAATCAAAGTGGTCCTCAAACTCCATTTGCTGACAAATTTCAAGGTCATCGTGATACAGACCACTCACTTGGTTCATTATCAGAGCTGAGACTTCAACCTGACCAATCGTTGATGGGCAGAACCGGTTGGCGGTGACATGCACGTTGGCTTCAACAGGCCACAGGCTTCAGTCTATGACGACATATCAGAATATGTTGCTTTAATAAGTCAACCGAAATTTCCACACCACCTCCAATCTGTTACCCTGTTGCGATACTTGGCGAAGGCTTGTAGATGTTATCTCGATTCCGTCATTTTCACTCAACTCGCTTTTTGCTCACATGCAGTGGTCCGGTAAATGGCTGTGCAATGTGTACACATAAAACCACATTCTCCAAGAATACCAACCAGAAACAAACAGTCACAGATATTCTTTCTTCACTTTGATGTCCAATTTGGCTGTCACATTCTCTCTTGCTTGAATATAAAGATTTCATAGCTATGCGTAGACAGAATCTCAATCTTGATTCGCACTCGTTTCAGTGTAGAGTTGTAGAATTATATGAAACTTCGTCAGGCAACTAAGGGTATAGAGATAAGCCGCTGTTAAAAAGGCGCATTGACTACTAGTATTGTACATGTGCGAAAAACGCGCCTTAATGAACTTTCTACGAGGTAAACTTCGGCGGGCAAGCCTACGATTTAAGAGGCAATTTTAACTGATAATCTCTATTCAAAAATATTGCGGGCCAAGCTGATCAAGGACTCCGTCTCTAGTATAAGATATTTGGATCTGGGTAAAGTGGTCAGAAGATGGTCAAAGATACAGAATGAATCACCTGTAAGTGGTCAGAGATGGTCAAAGATACAGAATGAATCACCTGTCAAGACGCTATACGCAGTGCTGATAAGTGGGCAGGGACCCTAAATAGAGGGTCCTTTAAAGAGGGGCTATTAACCTAATCAGTCAAAAGAATTTCTCCATCGGTCACGATTAAATATGTAATCCTTCCAGGACGGAGGGTGAAAGCCGAAAAGACTACCCACTTCAGATGAATCCCGTTGAATCAGAACCTTCATCTATCGGGATGACCCACTGAGTCAAACCCAATGGGGGCGCTGAATGGCATGAAAGGCTAACACGTTTTTTTCCGGAATGAAGAATGAGGATCACTGGATCACCTTTGGGAGTCGTCAGTTTGGTTACTCAAAATAATATTGGGCATGCCGTGTTCTGTAGCACCTAGCATTCCTGTGCTCGAAGCCCCCGGCCCCACCCGCGGTTTACCTTCCAGGATGAGGCCTCCGTAATTCCCCTAGCTTCGCTAAAGATATTTCAAGAAATGTCAGCTGATCGATACCACTGGTCTTTCAACATTGACTGGGTACTTGGAATTCTAGTAAGACTTCCGGTAGGCTACTTGTCACTTTAAGACCTCAACTATCAGTAACTAAACTTTGTGACAATGCGATGATGAACCATTGATATTGTTGTCCCTGATGATGGTTTGCATCAAGCAAACAGTGAAGATGAACGTACCTTCGACATATGTTCCTCCGAAAGGAAACCGCCTTCTAGGCTAGTACGCAACAGTATTTCCGTCAGGCACGATGTGTTGTGCAATCCCATGGAAAGAGGAGAGACTGGAGGGAGGGAACTGGTACCCCTTTTCCTTACTGTTGTTCGCCTTATGGAAATTACTTTACATAAAGCGACAGATGATAAATGTTAGTATATCTGCACTTGGTTAATCTTCATTTAGAAAACGTCTGAGGTCCTCAATATTGTAAGTGGGGAGTTTCTCAAACCTCATAACGGAGCACGGTGACTAAGCTGAATTTTAGATTTTGTGTACGCAGTCATCGAGAGCTTGACTTTGCCAAGCTTTGCAACCATGTTGGTTGATCCAAACTACCCGTTAGTTGTCCTGTATAATCCGAATTGGCTCTGTCGTCCCCTGCAGTATCTTATTGACCCCAATGGTGAGGTGGCCTCCTTGAAAAAGTTGCTCCAGTGAGTGCTCAGCCACCCTGAAGCTGAAGCCAATATGTAAACTAACAAGTCAGTTATGTCAGGAATCAAGTGGGATCGTCTACCTGACGGCAGTTGTATGCTAGACGGAAGTGGCTGGTTGGAACTACTGTGCAGCCGGATTCGGTCACTGAACTTGTACTTATTCGGACTGATATGATTACTACACATTCTAAAGTCATCATCATCAGAGACGGCGAAATCAGTGTTGACACTTCGGCTACGTTGCCGTACAACCATAAAGTTTGGTCAGTTAGTAAGCTGTTTGAGTGAAAAGAAGAGAAAAAGACTGGATGAGGGAGGGGACCTAGTGCTGACCTATGTTAAGCTTCCTAGTGCTGCCTATGTTAAGCTTTTGGAGGTGGCCAGAACTCTAAATGCTTAATCAGACAATCTGGAAAGAAACTGACAGCACGAGCTCCACTGACATCAATCAGCCGCCATTTCAAATAATGTCTCTAGCCTAGCACAGGTGGGGACAAATGGACAACATCCTGGAAGGCGCACAACACCAAGAACACCCGAAAAGTTTGTAATATCCTTCACGCCCTTCTGCCGAGTCATGCGTTGTCCAGTTCACGGTTTGCGCCATTTTGAAGGAGGCATGGAGAAAAACTATAGTCTCGGTACCTCAGTATAGGTAGCACATTACCGAGCCACTGGAGCTGATAGTGCTGGATAGTTCCCGCGACTGAACTACCTGCCGCACAACCAAATACCCGTTTTATGATAACCTTGTTATTAATACGTTAACGCCATACAAAACCAGCAACGCTTTTGAAGCATCGGTCCGCAAAGGCCATGTTTCGCAACCACACAAACCTTACTGTAGCCTGGTACGCACGACTTTCAAGACCAACTACAATGCATTTTTGACGCCGCAGGTGACGCAACTTAGCAAACGTGATTCGAGCCTTTGAGATTCTTTCATTGACTTCATCAGACACACTTCTGTCATAGCTTATACAACTAACGAGGTATGTAGAATTCTTCACATCCCCCAGTGATTCTCCCTGACTTGTAAGAGCTATGCTCAGGGACTGTACGTGCTGGAGCGTGACTTTGCACTTTGGAGGTGCAAGGCGCATGCAGAAAGATGGCATGATGGTGGTCAGTTTATTCGACTTTGCCTTCATAGATAGGGGCAATATCATCTGCGTAGTCCAGATCTACAAGGTTCTCACCAGTAACAATCTGAACATCGATGTTTTGAAGACCGTCCAGCGTTCATCTCACTATTTCATCAATAACTAATTTGAACAAGAATTTAGAGAGTAGACATCCTTATCGGACAACATCTGTTTGGAAGCTTTTGCAGAGCTCTGCGCACACACCCAGATGTATGTGAATATAGGGATCGGGTTATGTTCAAAAACTTCTGGCGCATAACCTGTTGAGCAAGTGTCGGTAACGGCGTTGACCGATCGACAGAATCGAACGCACCCTCGAATTCAATAAACACCAAGATTGTGGGTCCTCTGTACATGTGATCTTGATCATCTGACAGAGTCAACGCGGTCAAAATCTCACTTGATTTTCACGATTCAAGATTTCGCGTACTACCGCAAGACGACGAAGAATCAATGAGGCTAGAAGCCTTGTCACAACAGAAGTCAAACTGACGCCTCTGTGGTTACAACATTCACTGTGAGTATCCTTTTTGAAAATGGACACGATTATCGAATTATCAAAGTTGTCTCGGAAGGCCTCTTTATCCTAAGTAGAACCAAGTAGGCCATACAGGCACTGGATGAGAAGCCCACCACCATCGTTGAAGGAAGCAGATGGAAGGCTGTCAGGACCAGCAGCATGATGAACCTTAAGTAGAGGAATACCCTCGGACACCTGTGAGACAGGAAGCGGTTCTATATACGTAGTCCACCTTTTTGTAAAGGCCAGGATTCTGGAGCGTAGCTGGCAGCTAGCCAAGTGAATTGATGCTCGAAGAATTGTACCGGGCGGTCCAAACGTTCTCCTTTGAATTATCTGAAGTCATTTCGGTCCCCGATGATTTCGTTGACAAGATGCTTCCAAGGACCAGTCAAACGAATCAAGTGAGACAGCTTGCAGACGTTTCCAGCATTTTTTGCACCTTCTATTTCTTCGGCCATCTGATCTGCACCGACATTCAGTCCCAATTGGCGTCGGATAGAGTTGTGATTGAGTCCAGGAGGAATCTGTCGCCGGGACCCCATCAAAGACACGGTCCTATCAGAGATCCAAAGTTTGGATGATGTCAGCTGAGTTGTGCCGCAAACAGAAGATCCGGCTCTGAGTAACACTTTGGATATCTTTTCCCACTGGCCGTTTACATTCAACATCGGGGCATACAGCAGGCGTTCTATAAGCTGGTTCTGGTAGTTTCGTTTGATTTCTAGGTCCACTAGCTTCTCAAAGGCTAGGCGAGATGTGTATTGTGTGGATCAGAAAAGCCCAGTGAAAAGCAGCAGCGTAATAGTGCATGGTCGGAGTCCACCCTGGTATTCCATAAGAAGCGGTAGGCAGTGATTGACCTTCACCACCGATAACTGACGGCGAAGTAGTCTACTTGGATTCGAGGCTGGTTCTTTGGTGGGCACCATGTTGTCAAGTGATCTCCGCTGTTCCGGAAATCCGTACTGCAGAGGAACGGTCTGTGATCGGCACACATCTGAAGCAGACAACGCACGACCACCCAGCGGGACCCCAGCATCGCTTGGTCTACCTACATGAGCATTCATGTCATCACCAACCACTACGATGTCTAAGCTTTTAGCCCGTTGTAAAAGAACATCTAGATCTGCCTCTGACAGATTCTGAGCTACAGTCAGTTGGAGCATGAGCAGACATAATAAACCGCGTGCGAAGAACCTCACTTCCTCTAGATTCTCTCGCGACTGTTATCGGGTAAGAGTTATGTGCGATTCGTGGTTGCAGGTAGGCTTGGATCCTGTCTACGCTGGGTTCCAGGTGAGTCCCTCGAAAAACCAAATTGAAGATGAGTGTATATTCGCTAATTTCGCACTATTTGGTTCCATAAGGTTGACGGAAACCCGGGGACTGCGCCTACATGATGAGCCCCAAAAAGGGCGAAACCAGTCGTGAGCTGTCGACGGATTTTCAGCAACCTTACGAGTAGTACATTACAAAGATATAATGTATCGCGGTATCTCGAATATCGTACAGACTGAAACATGAGGCGGCCTGGCGCAGCACATTCAGTTGCCTGAGAACGTCACAAACGAGGGATTCAGCTGGGTTCCTGGTGAGTCTCTCGAAAAACCAAATTAATTTGCAAGCAAGTGTATATTCGCTATGTCAATTGTACATCAATTGATGACTAAAGGTGACTAAAATTGATGAGTTCTCCGAAACTTGGTGGGGATGTTTTCAACCTCAGGCGCACAAACGTGAAAATACGGTAGCGATCAGAAAAACAACACTACTCGATTCATAGCACAAACTGTGCGTACCGAACTATTCAAAGGTTCGAGAAGTTGCTAAAATAAAGGCTTTTCATGGAACTCCGTTGCACATCTTTCTTTCTTCCAGTGTATACATGCAGTTTCTGAAGCAGCAGAGCAATCATCCTTTTGGCTTTTCGATCTTCAGAGTGATACGGCAAATAGTGAACCCCTGGTATATATCCGTCACCGATTTTGAGCTCATTTAGGACGGACGTTTTTCCGTGAGATAAACCATTAACGAGGTTTTTCAACCTCACGATAAGCAAAAGATCTGACAAGACTTTGATGACCTGTGTCCTACAGTTTTAAAAAAGGTAGGCACAGTGGTATTGTGGACATAACGAGAAATGTGATGAGTTGAGTTTCAGACAGGCGGTAGGCAAACACCAAGGTATAAATTAGTACGAAGTCAATAAAATACTATCTATAGTAAGTGGTAGTATGTTATTTGGGCCACGACGAACAACAAATCACACCAGCACCGTTCGCCAAAGCGTGACTCGACTTTAAAGAATCCAGGCGAAGAAGCGACCTATGTGTTTCAACTAGGTGCCACTTACGTTCTGGATTGGAGGATCAGCAGTCTCGTTTCTGTGTTCGCCATCGAGTGTACGAGAAATTGAGACATAAACTATCTCCAGTGAAAGGAGAATAATTAGGTTGCTGAATTACATGAAGGGGAGGGTTGGTGCCGAAAATTTGGCTGCTTTACAAAACGGTCGCGATAAGTCATCGAGAGACCACGATGTAAATGTTTCGAGTACAGGCATTTTGGCAGCGGTTTCAGCTATGGGCTCCAGCGCTAAAAGTATGATAGCACTGTATTTGTGTCGTATTCCCATTTGGATCGACGTTGAGTGACACTGGGTAGGGTGCATGCGCTCAAGGTAGCTGAACAACGACGGGCTCTCGAAAATGTTCCGTTGCAGAATACTTGTATGATGCAAGCAGTGAGACGATTTCGAGTTTTCATTTAATAATTATTGTTTTTTCCGTTTCGCTAGTTAGTCTTTTGCCAACACAAGGCAAGGGAAAGCCCAATTCCCATGCTCCCTCACACACACACACACACTTGAAAACAAAGCTCACATTGGAGACACCATGGACATATTTTATTTTACACATGAAACAATCTTGTGGGAAACAGAACAAACTATGCATTAGCGAAGGAATGATATGGAAACCAGTGTCTAACTGTGACAGAAGCAAGGGACGTAACTCAATCCGAAACTGTAAGCAGCGGCCGAGTAAGTTCTCCGACGAAATACTCGCGTAGTCCCAAACGGATGCAGTTTTTTATCCAGTCAACGTCAGGCCACAAATCACGAAACATCACAAAACTTTGGAGTGCTTTTGGGATAGGCAGAGAGCAAACTCTGCGCAAGTAGTTCTCCATGGATGGTACTGGAGGATTCGAATTGCCATGAGCTTGAAATGCCATAGTATAGAAGTTCGAACAACTAGTGAAAATAACGCTGGCGTGTGTCTAGATGCAGAACACAAAGCCAAATGAACAAAGATGGAAGAAAAACCGGGTGGCCTTATGCAGATTAACGTACTGGTCTTCGATTTGAGATGGGTTGTTTGTTTGGATTTCGTGGTTCCAAACAACTCCGGATTTTTGGTTGTTCCTGTCTGGGCTTGGCTGCCTATTAGTGTCTCACGGTTTGTACGTTCCTCCGGGTCACATCTAAGTGGCATCACAGCTAAAAGACTTTGGAGAAGAACCCATTGGAGAATACATCATATCGACCCGACCAAAATTCCTTGCTTTCGGTTGAGATTTCGCCCTGTAAGTGAAGCCAATTAGTGATGAAAAAACTAAAAGCACTGTACAGTTGTTTCATTCTTATTGGAAATCATCAGCAGTACACATCTCACGAAAATCCAGTGGAGATTTTCGAACCCACGATCTCCCGGTAGCAGTTTGGACGCTCAACCACAATCATCCCTTGGTCATGCTGTGATTAGATCCTCGAGTGATGACTTTTCAAATGGGAGTTTCACTCACCTGTGGAATTAATCTTTCTTTAAGCTACTAGTATAAAACCCTCTGGAGTTTCGTGAGATGCGCACTACTGAGGATTCCGAATAAGAACAAGGGAGCTGTGCAGTGCTTCTCAGCCTTCTAGCATAGATTGGCTTCAATGCAGAACAAAATCCGAATTGTTAATAGTTCCATTGTTTAGCTAATCAATCATCGACCACCACAGATGAACTGATGGTTGCCGAACGGCTGGAATTTTACTAGGTTGTGGGCAAAGCTCGGAAAAATCAGCTTCACGAAAACTTTTTGCCGGGATTTATCTGATGAGAAAAGAGTTTCATGTGGCTTGGTTTTTGGACGTTCCAATCGTATTTTTATCACAAAAAACAAGAAGCATAATTTCTGACAACAGTACTAAAGATGTTTTTGGGTTTATCCCTGTCAAAATAGGTTATATTTACGAATTTTCACTGGCGTTTCGGAACAGTGAAGTTGATGAGTAGAGTCCAAATGGCCGAGCAGATAAAACCATTAACCACAAACTCGACGACTCAAGTTCGAAACCTTCTAGTGACGATGTGTATACATACTGTTTCAGAAAGGAGGACCTAAAAGGAAAACTTTTAGACATTTTAAAGCAAGCAAAGACCGTCACCATCTTCACAAAACATGAATTGGAACATGTAGGACTATTGATTGATGCAAAACAAACGTTGCAAATAATCGGGAAAAAGTAAATCATAAAAAGCAGCAGGGTAAATTTTCTTCAAACTGTTTTTCTCGTTTTTCACTCATTGTCCTTAGGACGGTATAGTGCCTAAAAGATAACACTTTTGGCTGGTCCTTTGAGATAGCCCCCTGAGAGAGAGAGGGAAGTGTGCACGCCTATTTCAATCGTACAGGAAACCTGGACGTTTACTTCAACACCAGTGAAGGTTTCTAACCACGGCCCGGTATATGAACACGACCATAACTATCCTAATGAAAGTCTGTTTTGGTTTGTCAATGCTATCGATCCTATTGGTTAATGTTGACTGTGTAGAACAAGCTTCCTAATATGGCATATCACATCCATAACCCCCAGCCGATGCATTGTTCAGTCTTACTCATTTGATCATGAATGTAGTCTCATTGTTTTCAGGAAAAACTCTTGTCTCCTCAAGATTCTTAAGTGGAAAATAAGTTCATAGAATGGTCTACTCTTCCAATGAAGATCAACACTGTGTTAAACTTTCTGATGTATTTTGATCTGGTTCACGTAAATTATGGCAAATCACATGAACAGAGTAGGCGTGTTTGTTAACGTATTGGTGTCTGAGTGTGGCACGGAGATTTGTGTGCAGTAATGAATTCAGCAGTGGCTATAGCCTTAAATCTGTTTGACTCCGACAACCTTGATGGAATTTCGTGGACGCTGTGAAAGCTGTTGTGACGTTGACTCAAGGCCTTGTGTGGGGGGTATGACTGAATAGTTAACAGCTCTTAGAAAACACATGGGGATGGGTTCGGACGTTCAGCTGAATGGCTGTTCGGCCGATACATTCATCTTCACAAAGCAGACAAATTGATAAACAAGCAAAAAGGCTGTCAGGAAAACAAGCTTCTGCTCTGGATGTTGTCTGAAAAGAATACATGTAGCGAGGACGATTCTTAAATCGGTCGCATTTGAAGTTCTTTCAGACGTTTTACCACTTCTTCGGACCGCAATTTCAGTGACTAAGGCACTTTTCAAAAGCAAGCATAGATGCAAGATGCTTCCAGGCACATTGTTCACAGTACGTCTTAGAACTCTGGATTGCACGGGTTTTTCGAGAAATCTGTCTAGATATCCACTTTTTCCAAAGATATTCATGAGGAATTGTACATGACCATCCAAGATACCTGCTAAAATATCTTCTTGGATTTATTCTAGGTACAGTGTTCTAAGTTGTGCTGGACCCTCGGTGAGAAGCTGTTAAAGTGCGAGTAGTGCCCAGTCCATGTGGGCTCACGATACACGCTTAATCAAATATGGCCATCGTGAGTTCGGGTCATTTTCACTACAAAAAGGCTAGCCAGTCTTCCCTTTCGAGCCCAAAAGTAAACGTAGTGGTTTGATGTGCTTCAATTAAAGTAATCAGCATAGATACCGAATTCAAGTAAGTACTACCCGTGCAAAAAAGCATTAGCAAGCTATCCAGTAGAAGTGAAATCTCGCTCTCACTAGTGAATTTAATGTTCTCAAGGTTGGACATGGATGCATTTCCGAGTCATGGATCACACTGGGCACCCACTCCGTCCATCTTGTCCGTCCAATGGCCAGGAATTAAACTCTCAGTATCCCTCTAACTCGTCAGAATGTAACAGGTACCCAGCTAGTAGGTACAAATGATGCACTAAGCACTCGGCTGCGTTTCATATGTAACAGCCCAAATTCGCCTTTTTGGTACCTTGTTTCTGCTACGAAGCCTCCTCAGAGTTCACCCGAATGAGTGGAACAACGGGTTTGAAACAAACCCCGTAAATCGTTCTTAACTCTCTTTTCATGACAAAGCTGCTCCTGATTGTTTCTTCATCTGCCTGATTCCACTAGTTTACTTTGTTCAAACTTAGATAGTGATGTATCTTAAGCAGAACCTAATGACTCATCCACCTGACTTTTTGGATAATACTCGTGTGGTAAATATGGCTCATAAGACATTTGATTTTTTTGCAGATGATGTGCTATCGCTTACGCAAAATCAATCATCGAGTGGCGCGCGAATGTGAGTCTGATATGCCGAAAGCGTTACTACACTGTAGTTCCCTATGTCAAGACATGTTTAGCAGTGTAATCCAGGTTCGTTGCTCCCAAGCGAGTACACAGGATCATTCAATATAATTTGCATGATCTGTTTTAAACCTGACGACTGTGTCGAAGAAAGATAAGATAATCAGGAAAAAGGGGTGATCTTCGTAGTATTTCATCCACTACATACAAACGTTCCTACCGCTTGATCATGTGGAGAGCACGTACTACAGGCTAAACACAAAGATACAAACACAGTAGTGGTGCTTTGAATAGCACTGGAATTTGTAAACTCGTACGAATGCCGTTACTCCAGAATTGAGTTGCATTTGAGCATGTGTTCGGCAATCCGTTTGTATAGCAAATGCTGGCAAAATTATCGAATTTCCCACATGGTCCCATCGAATACGATTCGGTTGCGCTGATCACAGTAGTTTGTTAGTTCTTAAAGTGACTCGTGAATGTTTTTTTCAGACCCAACTGTACATCCAGATGCAGTTTAGCGACAGAGCTCGAGATCACTCGATTGCCAAAGCGCGAGTTTACTGAGCGGAAGGTCCGTGGTTCGAAAGTAACTTTTGCATCTTAACCGCTCCAGTCTAAGCTTGGGCAACTTGGCAGTACCCCAGCCCTCGTGCTTCCTTCGGATGGCATAGCAGCTAGGCACCGGGAGGATGTTACGGCTGAAAAATTGTTTTAACGTAACCATTAACAACGAATGAAAACACACTCACTCGAGGAACGTGCCAGTTGTCTTCTTATACCAACACGACACAGTTCTTTTAACGTGGGTGGACCCCATATTCTCTCCGGGTGATTTCCGGTTTCCTCCTCATCCTTCAGACGTACCATACTAAATCGGTGCCATCTCCAGGTTGCACTCAATTCCGCCAACAAACTCTCTTCGTCCCGCGTTCCCATCAACTCGTTCAACATATGATGCAGACAATACGGGTATTCGTCACAATCGCTTTGATGAGTAAGTTCCCAGTTAACAGGTGGGATGGGCCAGAAACGTCGTTTCCTTATAGGAACACCATCTTTTCCTGTCCAGATGTCGAATGCACAGTGTTCAGGTACAGCCATGAACAATTCGAACAAGAGGGCTATGGATTGACCGCAAAGACGAAGCATTACACGGCAGTCATTTGGTGGGATGTCTTCTTTGTAAAATGGTGGGACGCCCCGTTCGTAGATGCGCGTTATCTAGAATCATGAAGCAAATATGATGATGGATCACAGTAGGCAAGAAAATCAAATATTACACAAAGCGTACATATTATATAGAGGGGATCATTTGAAGATATAATTGTCCAACTACACTTATCTGCGTCCCAATTCGGGTTCAACAGGAGACTCACGTGGAACGCAGCTACGTCTCTCATTTATCAAGTTATTCCTCAACTGAAGCTGCCGCATCAGATTGCCTTACGTTTCGGTTGATACGACATTCCAGATATCGCAACAAACTGTTGTCTAGACGTACCATACTGCTCACAAGCAATCTGAAAAACTTTCGACAGCCCACGACCGGTTTCGCCCTTTTTGGGGCCCATCAGATGGGTGAAGGAGAACGTGATAAACGAGGTTGATCTGGGTTCCAGTTGATTCTCCCGTAAAAAAAGACAAGATTCGTATGCAAATGTGTGTATTTAGCCAATTTCGTCCAGTTTTGGTTCAAGTGGGACATAAAGTTGGCGGAAGCTTGGGGGCTGCGCCTACCTGATGACCCCGAGCGGGATGGGCGAAACCGGCCGTAGGTTGTCGAAGAGTTTTCAGTAATTAATGAATAGTATATCACGTTTATACAAACACTTGTAATGTTTTTAGTATTCATGAGAGTTGTATTCAGCAGCCATCTCGAGAAAAAATTTGGCTAACCAGAGGGGTTGAGTGAAACGCATGAATTTTGGTGCACGAATATGCTCTGGCATGACTAAAAATGAAAATGTCAAATTTCAACGGACCTGTCCTATGGAGCCACAATAACACCTAATACCTAACTAGTCTTACTTAACTAGGTCTAGCAAACCTCGCCTACTAATGGAGCACACTACCCGGACTGTCATCTGTTCACCCAGCTGGCTTTGGAGGCAGCTTTTAGTAAGTCTCAGAAGAATAATCAGTGGTACACAAACCATCACGCTTTGGGAAGAGGCAGTCTCTTCGAGACTATACCAAATATGGAGTTGTTCATCTTCAGACCGACCATTTAAAAGTATCTGAGAGATGGCCTTTTCTGGGAGGCTTCAACATAACCAGTTGAAATACCTTCTCCCTAACGCAACGACTAGGGTGTGAAGTCAAATCTTGTGCATAGGATTCACTCAAAACAGGTCCGACGATTTGAAGACTTCACGGAATATACTGAGGTAAAGCAATGCAGCAACAGTGACTTACTATTGGTGCACAGCCTGAGCGCGATTCATGTGAAAAATGATAAATGAAAGTCAGGTGTGAAACAAGGTAGTGGAGGAAATGTAAGGCGTCAAACAGGACCGCTGTCTAATCCAGAAGATCCTATCTTCCAAACCTGTCCATACATGCCTGTCGATAACCCTTACCGAAGGTTTAATCTCCTCCAGTATGCAAACCTAGCTCGACTCGCCTGTCGGAGTATATCGGGCTGCGTGCAATCGAACTGTCAGTTGGCAGCCGGATAACGTTCAAAGACTGACGATCTGCTTCATAGGGGCAGGCAAGCCCAATGCCCACAGCCCCTATCTGTCCCATTATATGCCATTCATTTCTGCAACAGGAATGTTCTCGAAATGCAAGCCTTCTGCTCAGAGGCGTGCACATCAGTCTATCCACCATCACCGAAATCTATAGCCACGTCACAGTTCAAACGAGCTTCCGCAAAAGATGCACGATAAGTCCTCAAGGCAAACGTGAACTGGCAAGCCCCAAGATCAAACCCTTCTTCGTGGATAGCTCACCATAATGTCATCTGTCAACCATGAGTTAATGGACAGTAGATTTGAGTTCTTTCCCTGCCCTTACAGGTGTGTTCTGATGCGTACCACAAATGAATGTACAACCGTCATATGCAGCCTGCGCAGAAAGTAGACAAACCTCACCATATTTCTCTCCAAGCCACAATTGCAGATGGCATGCGGCCATAAAAGCAAGGTGCACGGATTCCACCACTGAGGATTCACCTCAAAGCTTGTGAAATAACACGAAGCCGTAGACAATGGAGCCATGTGTTTCAAAGCCCCAAAATCATCTCGGTCCTCAGCCAAACGGATCGGAATACACCCGGTCGGGTCCGGCCTATTGGGATTTGACCAGTTGGGTGCATTGACCAGCCAACGGATGCAGTTTTCAGCACAATAAAGTACAGCCAACTGTGGTGAACAAACGGGAGACTAAATGAACGAGCAAGCATAAAAAACAGAAACCCCTCACTTGATGAAACTTTATCATAAAACTTGCTAACTAAATGCAGTCAGATTAGCCCCCTCCTGGATGGAGTTCTCAAGCAATTCACCACGACTCCAGTATCAATAATTCATGTGTACGGCTGCTGCTCACCTCTGTAAGGCTCAACTGAGTAAATAGGTAGAGTATGGGAAGTGATATAACCTGCGAAGAAGTTTCATGTGACGGTAGGGCCATACAGCCGTGAGATCTCTTCGGTACATAGCTTCCGTGCAACGCGAAGTAAGCAAGAGGGCTGGGATACCGCCAGGTTTACCACTCCTATACAGGGGTAGTCGGAAGTCCACGGACCTCCCAGTCAGTAGCTTCCTACCTCAACTGCTGAGCTGTCTGGGGCATCTGGTGATGGAAGGAAAGCGTTCGCCCTCTCTTGGGGTGACCTTTTCTGAATACGGTCTTTCCTGTGTATTGAATCAGCGCATGGGAGCGCAAAATAAAGTGAGCAGACATCCCAACAGAAGCAACAACGGGGTCAATGTCTGTCTATTTGAGGAAGTGTGACAGGTGAAAAATATTGAGGGAACGACGGACAGAAACAGACCGAAAGGATACATTTGGATGTGAATGAGTGCCTAGGAAGTTTTCAAGTAGGATTCAAGTTGTCCGATATCGCGGGATGTTGAAATACCAGATGGAAAACGAATTAGTTTGAAAGACTTCTTCCACTGGCTAAATACGGCTCAAAGGAATGCCACGAGTGGGATGTCCAGTTGAAGAAGCTCTGAAAACGAATTTGTTAGAAGTACCCCTATTTTAACGTCTCACTCGGGACTAATCAACAGTTTACGTTGCGGGTGGGCGTTTATTATGAAGCCAATAATGACGAAGCAAATACCCAAGGGGATTGCGGCTGTTGGAGAACGAAACCCTCCTGATTTTCTCTGTGTACGCATACGACGGATGAGGAATACTTCAGCTGTTTATTTGTACACCTCTATATGCAGTATCCCCCCGCCACTGGGATGTCGTAAAAGTACGAGCAAAGTCAGCCATAGTGGAGAGGTGATCACATTCTAGGGTGAGGAGCAGTTTAAATGCTGTATTGACTTACATGACCGTATGGTCATATTATGGAGGAATGAGTGAGTAGGAGGGTCTGTACATTGACCCCACAATGAATGCAAGTACACCGGCTGAAGTGCCAATCTTGCACAAATACAGAACAGTAGGAGGGTCATTGACCCCACAATGAATGCAAGTACACCGGCTGAAGTGCCAATCTTGCACAAATACAGAACACGGGTAACTCAGAGACGAGACT